CAAACTCTTTTTGTTAACCCCATAGAGTAATTACAGCATGACATTTATGGAAGTGCAATGTATATGGTTTTGGACAAGATTAATTGGCATGTTACTGCTAACAAAACCGATTTGTTTAAGAGTTGCTACATAATTCATGAAGTCTTTACAATACTATTAGAATCTTCATAAACTATGAAGATGAAACAAAGTTTGAATAGAATCACAATTTTTAATAGTTCACAATTTTGAAAATGCACTGCAAGATATTAATTTTGACCTTCGCCTAGTGTATAAAGCTTCAAGATAAGTGTGTCACCAACATTTGTGTTACCACTGTTTTACTCAGTTATTTCAATAGACTTACCTGTTTTCTTTCTGCATTCACTAATAATTTATTGCGAAAGTACAAGATGAATGTGTAGTTTTAAGTGTTCCCTCTTTCCTTTCTTGCCCTCTCCATCTCTCTCTCTCTCTCTCTCTCTCTCTCTCTCTCTCTCTCTCTCTCTCTCTCTCTCTCTCTCTCTCTCTCTCTCTCTCTCTCTCTCTCTCTCTCTCTCTCTCTCTCTCTCTCTCTCTCTCTCTCTCTCTCTCTCTCTCTCTCTCTCTCTCTCTCTCTCTTCTCTCTTGCTCTCTCTCTCTCTCTTCTCTCTCTCTCTCTCTCTTTCCTTCCTCCTCTTTCCTCTTGCTCTCTCTCTCTCTCTCGTCTCTCTCTCTCTCTCTCTCTCTCTCTTCTCTCTCTCTCTCTCTCTCTCTCTCTCTCTCTCTCTCTCTCTCTCTCTCTCTCTCTTCTCTCTCTCTCTTTCTCTCTTCTCTCTCTCTCTCTCTCTCTCTCTCTCTCTCTCTCTCTCTCTCTCTCTCACTCTTCTCTCTCCCTCTCTCTCTTTCCTTCCAATCTTCTCTCCATCTCTCTCTCTCTCTCTCTCTCTCTCTCTCTCTCTCTCTCTCTCTCTCTCTCTCTCTCTCTCTCTCTCTCTCTCTCTCTCTCTCTCTCTTGCCTTCCATTCCTCTTTCTCCTCTATTTCTTCCATGTTTTGATTATATTAAATAACATATACAATTAGATAATGAAAATAAAACTAGTAATTTTCAATTGTTGCTAATAATATTTGTTTTCTAAAGTTTTATTTAGTCTCCCCGAGTTGTTGTTGTCTCTATGAATGCTTTAAATTTTTATTCAGGGATAGCTAAAGTAAAAATCATTCTTATAAAGTTCATTATTGTAAAAGCGCGATGTGTTATCTTAGATATTTTCTCTCTTCAACAAAGGATTATTTCTACACATAATGAAAACAAGAATTAGGTATCTTATGAAATATCTGAATGTTCTCACAAGCTGATACTGTTCTGTGTTGTGTAGCTGACTTTGAAAAGTTTGAAAAGTATATGAAAAAGTTTACTAATTACGAAAACAAGTGGCTTATAGAGAGAATATAGACAAATCTGAGTTTTTACAAAAGGTGCGGCACTCATAAGGGATTCTACCAAAGTGGCTTTCTTGCATAAATTAGTGAATATCACCATCTCAATAAGTGGTGAAAAATCTAGGGGCAGTAAAGTAAAAGGAGGCGGTAGGGGGCTTCAGTAAGGTATTAGGAGCAATTAATAAATAACTTTTTGTTTTTTACTTCATAGCGAGTTACAGCCTGATTCTGAGAAGCTGCTATCCCTGCACCAAGCACATCAATCCCGTTAACAATAACTAAAGACAGTGGACTATGTTACCATGGCTACTGGCGAGATGTAGATTTACCACAGCTAAAACTGCTGGATAAATTGTTTACTAGAGTAGGTATTATTTTTGAAATACATCTTTGTGTTTAATCTTGTTTTTTTTTTCTTCAATTTAAAGCTAGAGGATCGCTAGGAATCCACCTGGAGTCAAGGGGTCGCCCGCCCTCGAAACGTCTAGAAACCAGTCAATGAAAATACCTTGTAATTTACCCTTTTATATCGCCATACTGTTCTGCATTTATTGTGTCATTTCAAAACGTGGCGTACAAGTAGTTTTGGCATGATTATGAATTATCGATAAATTTGTAAAATTGATGAATAGTATGGGAGGAATTAGAGTAGTAAAAGCAGATTGCAATTATAACGAATTTTAGGAATTAAAAATTATCTGAGGATTGTAGATTGTAGACTGCAGACAGGCAGACCGACAGAGAGAAGAAAGAGAGAGACAGAGAGAAGGGAGCGGGAGAGAGAGAGAGAAGGGAGCGGAGAGAGAAGAGAGAGAGAGACAGAGAGAAAGGAGCAGGGAGAGAGAGAAAAAAAAATCAAAAGATAAACAGAGACAGTAAAAAAAAAAAAAAAAAATGTGCACAGCGACACACTTTATAACATGCATATATCGTATATCTCAGATAACTACTCACAATGAATGCAAACTTGCACTCACTGATTCTGCAAAGTTTATCCAAATATTTCAACTCGAATGCTTTGAATCTGTGCCTTCATTATTATTTCATTTTATCGCATTCTTATCTATATTTAACCTATTTTTTCGGGGGGGGGGAAGGTGTTGATTCATTATTATACAATGTCACACTCGTAACCTAAATTCAAATCTTTCCATAAATCATTCAATGCCAACAGACACACACAAAAAAAAATAAAGAATAAACAACAATGATAACATTTCATAAAATAAATCTAAGAAAACCACACAAAATAATCTAAAAAAAAAAAAAAAAAATCACATTCACTCTTGAACTCTTTTAAAATAAAACAACGCTCGTTAAAAAAAATTCTCCCAAGAAACAAAACGAAAAAATTACAAAAAAAAACAGTCATTTTTTTCAACGCCAACGATCGGTCCGGCAGGTGACGCACTGGGGAGGGGGAGGGGGGGGGGGTACCACGGAGACCGAAGGAATTGAGAACACCAAAAACATGAACGGTTATAACGACTAGTGTGACCTTCAGCGCGTGTTGATCAATAACTCCTGTGCTTTGGTTGATTTTAGGGTGCAATGGGGAGGAGGAAAGGGGGAGGGGGGAGCAGGGGGAGTGTTAGAAAAAAAAATGTTTTTGGGCCGGAAGGGAGGGGAGAAGTGGGATTGGGGGGAATGTAGAAAAAAAAATGGTATTTGAACCGGGGCGCTGGGGAGAGTTGTAGATTAATTTTGATATTTGGACAGGGGTGGGGCGGGATGTAGAAAAAAAAATATTTGGGGCCGGAGAGGAGAGTGGGGTTGGGGAGAATGTAGATAATTTGATATTTGGACCGGGGGCGCTGAGAGGGGTTGGGGGGTTGGGGGGTAGAATAATTTTGATATTTGGACAGGGGGGGGCGGGGATGTAGGAAAAAAAAAGATATTTGGGCCGGAGAGGAGGGGAGTGGGGGTTGGGGGATTGTAGAATAATTTTGATATTTGGACGGGGCGCTGAGAGGGTTGGGGGGGGGGGTTTGTAGAATAATTTTGGATATTTGGACGGGTGGGGCGGGGATGTAGGAAAAAAAAGATATTTGGGCCGGAGAGGAGGGGAGTGGGGGTTGGGGGGATTGTAGAATAATTTTGATATTTGGACCGGGGCGCTGAGAGGGGTTGGGGGGGGGGTTGTAGAATAATTTTGATATTTGGACACGGGGTGGGGCGGGGATGTAGGAAAAAAAAGATATTTGGGCCGGAGAGGAGGGGAGTGGGGGTGGGGATTGTAGAATAATTTTGATATTTGGACCGGGGCGCTGAGAGGGTTGGGGGGGGTTTTGTAGAATAATTTTGATATTTGGACAGGGGGTGGGGCGGGGATGTAGAAAAAAAAATATTTGGGCCGGAGAGGAGGGAGTGGGGGTTGGAGGGAGCTGTAGAAAAAATGATATTTGGGGCCGGTGCGCTGAGAGCGGGGGGGGGGGGGGGGGTTGTAGATTAATCTTGACATTTGGGCCGGAGAGGAGGGGGGGGGAGAGGTATTTTGAGGTTATCTAGTCTTTCGAGTTTTTTGGGAGAGTGAGGTTCTGAAAAAAAAATAATAAAACTAGAAATTTCACTTTTTACATATATATTCTTTGTCTTTCATTTTCTTTATACCCTCTCCCGCTACTATCTCTCTCTCTCTATCCATCTATCTATCTTTCTATCTATGTATCTACCTATTTATCTGTCATTCTTTCCATCTTTCTATCTATCTCTATTTATCCATCTTTCTCTCTCCTCTCTCCTCTCTGTTTTCTCTGTCTCTGTTATTAGCATTATCATTGTTATTATCATGATTATTATTATTATTATCATTATTATTATTACCATTATTATCATTATTATTATTATCATCATTATTGCTATTATCATTATTATCATTATTATTATCATTATTATTGTTATTATCCTTGCTGTTGTTGTTGTTGCTGTTATTACTATCATTACCATTATTGTTACTATAGTCATTATCATCCTCATTATTATTATCATTAATATTATTATTATTGTTGTTGTTGGTGGTGGTGTTGTTTTGATTGTTATTATTATTATAATTACTATTACTATCATTGTTAATTGTTATTATTATCATTATCATTATCATTATTATTATTTATCATTACGACTATCATCCTTATTATTGCTTTTGTTATTATTATTATCCTTATTATTAGTAGTGGTATTACCATTATTATAGTTATTATTATTATTATTATTATTATTATTATTATTATTATTATTATTATTTATTATTATTATTATATTATTATATTATATTATTATTATATTATATTATTATCATTATCATTATTATAATCATCATTACCATTACCATCATTATCAACATTGTTATCCTTATTATTACCATTATTACTATAATTATTATTACCATCATTGTTCTTATTATTCTTATGATTACTATAATCATTTTTGTTAATATTATCATCATTAACAAGAATCTTTATCAGTATCATTATTATTATGATCATCATTATGATATATCATTTGATTTATTATTTATTTTATCATTACCATTATCAGTATCATCATCATTGTTACTGTCATTATCATTATCAATACCATCATTATTCTATTATTATC